TATTATATATATATATATTATATATATATATATTATATATATATATATTATATATATATATATTATATATATATATATTATATATATATATATTATATATATATATATTATATATATATATATTATATATATATATATACACACACACACACACACACACACACACACACACACACACACACACACACACACACACACACACCACACACACACACACACACACATATATATATATATATTATATATATATATATTATATATATATATATTATATATATATATATATTATATATATATATATTATATATATATATATATATACACACACACACACATATATATATATATATTATATATATATGAAATGTTCAGTTCATACTGACATTCAGACAACACAAGATATACTAAACCAAATTCAGCTTTTAGAATGCAAAGCTCTAATACGGATAATACAGACAATATCATTTTCAAATATTCGACAAAAGTCCTTTACCAAAATCTACTTTTTACATCCTCTATATTTTTAACCTCACCTTTCCATTCTCTGATATTTATTTACCTGCAAATTGTATGCCAGTTAATTTAGGTAGTATTGATTACAGTAGATCAAATCTAATGTATCGTTAATGCATATTTGTATCTTACAAATTCGCTACGTATTCTGTACAACAACTGTATCAGGGCTTTCAGTGTTTTAGCACATTTTCGTCAGTTATTTTGAAAGCACAATAATAATAAGGTTTGTGTGCGTGCGTGACGGTCAACTCATTTACTGCAATGCGGTTTTAGTAAGAGCTTCTAATGCCTAACTTTTAATTCACACTTCTGGTTCTATTGTCTGAGGATAGCTACTTATTCTCACTAGCTTGTTCCTTGTTTATTTGTTGTCGTTGATTGTTCATTTTGTTCTCTGTTTCGTCTGGGATTTTGAATTTTCTTTTCTTTAGATTTTTCTTCGTCGTGTTTTTTTTTGTTTTTTTCTCTCTCTCTATTTTTCTCATTATCTCGTTGGTTTGGTCACTTCTCTCCTCCTTTCCCTCTCCTCTCTTTCCCTTGTTGACTCTCCCATTTTCTCCTCCGGTGCTCTCCCTCTGCGGCTTCCCTTTACTCTCCTCTCTCTCCTGCTCCCCTTCTCTCCTTTCTTGTGTTTTCTTAATGCTGGTGTCCCCTTTCCTTTGCTCTTTCTTCTCTTCTCTTCTCTCTTCTTTCTCCCATTCAGTTATCTCTTATTGTCCTCTTTTTCTCCCCCACCTGTACTTTCCTTCTTTCCATTTCTGTTTTTATATCTCGCTCCTCCTTCCCTCTCCCCTTCCTCCTTTTCTTTCTTCCTCCTTCCCATCCACCTCCTCATCCACCCTCCCCCTCCCCCTTCCACCCGTCCCCTCCTCCTTAACTCTCCTTATCCACCTCTACTTTCCCCCTCCTTTCCCTCTTCTCTTTCTCCTTCTCCCTATGTTATCTCCTTTTCCTTCTTCATCAACCTCTTCCCTCCCTTCTCCTCCCATTTAACTCACCCCTTCCCCCTTTTCCCTTCTCATTCATTTCTTCCCCTCCCCCTTTCCTCTCCCCTTCCACTTCTCCCCCCTCTCCCCATTTACTTGCCTCCCCCCCCATCTTTGCCATTCTCCTTCATCTCTCTCTTACCCTATCATCCTCCCCCCCTTCCTCGTTCTACCTCCCCCTCCTCCTCCTCCCTTCCTCGTCCATCCTCCCCCTCCCTCCACCCCCCCTTCCTCGTTCCACCTCCCCCATCTCATCTCTACCCCCTCCCCCTCCTCCTCCTCCCTTCCTCGTCCCACCTCCCCCCCTACCCCCTTCCTCGCCCCCCCTACCTCCTCCCCCCCTACCCCCACCTATCTTCAACCCCCTCTCCCCCCTCCTCTCCCCCACCTCCCCCTACCTCCTCTCTCCCCCCATCCCCCCTCCCCCCTACCTCCCCTCCCCCACCTCCCCCTCCCCCTCCCCTCCCCAACTGCATTTCTCGGCCCGTCCTCGAGGCTGGCCCGCTAAGCCCTGGGCCTCAGCTTTATTCACTAAATTAAAAACTTCAACTGGAGTGCGGGTTGTGCTTGGGTTTAATTAAGCCTCTTTGAAAGGGGCCAATTTTCTGATAAGACGTTATCCCGTGCCATGTCTCTGTTTAGCTTCCTCCTTTAAGCCGTGAACTCCCTAACACCCCCCCTTCCCATCTCATTCCTTCTGCTTCCCCACCTCTGTCTGTCTGTTTGTCGGTCTGTCTGTCTGTTTGGCTATCTCTGTCTCTGTCTGTCTTTCTATGTCTCTGTCTATGTATGTCTATCTCTTTCTGTCTCTGTCTGTCTGTCTGTCTCTCTCTCTCTCTCTCTCTCTCTCTCTCTCTCTCTCTCTCTCTCTCTCTCTCTCTCTCTCTCTCTCTCTCTCTCTCTCTGTCTCCCTCCCTCCCTCTCTCTCTCTCTCTCTCTCTCTCTCTCTCTCTCTCTCTCTCTCTCTCTCTCCAATTCTCCCCCCCCTCTCTCTTTTCCTTCAATCTCCACCACCGCCATCTCTCTCATTCCCTTTCACCCCCCCCTTCTATGTTTCTGTTATTCAAACAATCGTTCCGCTCCCCCTCCCTGCCTCTCTTCCACTCTCCTGCCTTTCCTTCTCTCCTCTCTGTCTTTGCCCTGTTCCTCTTTACCTCCCTAAAATTCTCCTCCTCTCCCATTTCTCCCTCTTTCCCTTTCTTCTGTCCTCTTTCTTTTCTACTCCGTCTTTCCTCTTTCTCTTTCTTTTCCCTTCCCCCTTTCTCCTTTTCTCCTCACTTCCCTCCTCTCTCTCTCTCTCTCCCTCTGTCTCCTTTCCTTTTCTCCTCCTTCCCCCCTCCCTCATTCCCTCTCTCCCTTCTTCCCCCTCTCTCTCCTCTTCTTTTCTCCTTCCTCCCTCCCTTCCATCCCTCTTTCCTCCCTCTCTCTCTCTCTCTCTCTCTCTCTCTCTCTCTCTCTCTCTCTCCCTCTCTCTCTCTCTCTCTCTCTCTCTCTCTCTCCTCCCGTCCCTCTCTCTCTCTCTCCTCCCGTCCCTCCCTCCCTCCGCTTGACAATGGAAAATATGTTATCTACACCCGGAAAAAGAGAAGGAATTCTGGATCGCAGGGTAAACACGCCAGCTAAATTAGGGTCGTTTACTAGTGAACAATAAGTCGTTAATTTAATGAGATTAAAGCACCTCCCTTGCCCTTAATGAGTTGACTGTCAAGTTTGTCAAGCGAAGTGTCCCTCTCCCCCCCTGCCCTACCTCCCCGTGATCATTAGCCGATTAAAAGCAACCGATCGTTTCCCGGTTGAAAGTCGGATCATTAACAGGTTGACAGCAATTGAATGATAACCACTGGACGGTTTGTCACTGACCGAATGAAAGCAGGTCCTTGATGAAAAGAAAATTGAAAGGGTTTTGGGAATAGGTGGGGGAGGGGGGGGAGGGGGAAGGGGGAGGGAGAGAGGGAGAGGGAGAGGGGGAGGGGAGAAGGAGAGGGGGAGGGAGAATGAAAGGGGAGGGGGAGAGAGAATGAGAGGGGGAGGGGGAGGGGGAGGGGGAGAAGGAGAGGGAAGGAGAAGGAGAGGGAGAGGGGGAGGGGAGAAGGAGAGGGGGAGGGAGAATGAAAGGGGAGGGGGAGAGAGAATGAGAAGGGGAGGGGGAGGGGGAGGGGGAGAAGGAGAGGGAGAGGGGGAGGAGGAGGGAGAGGGGAGGGGGGGAGGGGGTAGTGGCGGCGGGAATTACTTAACTGCATTGCGATTAATTGAGAAATTAAGTGTGTTATGGTTTGTTTTCTGTGTAGTTAGTTCTTTCTCACAAATCATTTACATTTGTCTTTTTTCTATCTTTCGTTTCCTTTTCTTCTCGTTCTTCCCTTCGTATTATCTTCTGTTTTCATCCCCCCCTCTACATCAGGAGATTTCTCTTCCCTTACTCTTATTTTTTGCGGTATCTTATTTTCTCTTTCTCTATCTCTTTCCTTTTTATCCTCAATTTTCATCTCTTCTCCCTTTCCTCCCTTTGCATAGTCTTTCTCTCTCTCTCTCTCTCTCTCTCTCTCTCTCTCTCTCTCTCTCTCTCTCTCTCTCTCTCTCTCTCTCTCTCTCTCTCTCTCTCTCTTCTCTCTTCTCTCTCTCTCTCTCTCTTTCTCTGTCTCTCTCTCTCTCTCTCTTCCCTCTCTCTCTCTCTCTCTCTCTTTCCCTCTCTCTCTCTTTCTCTCTTCTCTGTCTCTCTCTCTCTCTCTCTTTCCCTCTCTCTCTCTCTCTCTCTCTTTCTCTCTCTCTCTTTCTCTCTCTCTCTCTCTCTCTCTCCCTCTCACTCTCTCTCTCTCTTTCTCTTACTCTCTTCTCTCCTTTCTCTTTCTACTCCACTCTCTTCCCATCCTTCATCTACTTCTCCCCCTCTACTTCTCGCTCCCTCCGTCTATCTCCCCATTCCCTCTCCCTTCCCTCCTCTCCTATCTCCTACCCTCTCTACCCCCCTCGCCCACCAACCCCTCCACCCCCACCTCACCGTCTCATTCTCTCGTTCCCCTCTCCCCCTCCCTTCTCTCCCGTCGACCATCCTTTCCCCTCCCTCTATCTACTTTACCATCCCCTCAACTCTCCCTCCTCTCCTGTTTCCTACCCCTCTCCCCTCTCCCCAACCCCCCTTCCCCACTCCCATTCCTCTCCCCTCCCTCTTCTTCCATCTCCCCCCAACTCCCGTTCCCCACTCCAACCCCACTCCCACCCCTTCCCCCTCCCTCTACTCTCATCTCCCACCCCTCTCCTCTCCCTCCACTCTCATCTCCCACCCCTCTCCCCTGTCCCCCACTTCCTCCCCTCCCCCCTCCACCCCCCACCCCCTACCTCCCCGTTCCATTCTCTCGTACCCCTTAACACGTTGGTGCAGCTCAGGGACAGTTGTCATCAGGCCATTAAAACTTTGTGTGCGGTTATTGCGCTGTTTTCCTTTCCTCGAGATGGAGTCGAGAGTTCGCCCTTGCGCTCTCGCTCGTTAATTTGTCGCACTTGGAGATGTCGAGTCGCTGAGTCGTCGAGGGCGAGCTCTTGTCTCTTCAT